TAATGCGTTAGTTGCGGGATGATGCATTACGGAACGAGTAAAGAGACTTGCCGGTAACGATATTGAACTAGGTATTGAGATACCGACGATCGAATCTATACCGATGACAAAGGGAACAATGTATGTTGTTATGCGGTTTGACCGATAAAGATCTTCGTAGAATATGTGGGAGCCAATATGAGCATCCAGGTTCCACTATTGGTTATTGACCGGAGACGTGTCTCGGTCATGTCTACATAGTTCTCGAACCCGTAGGGTCCGCACGCTTAAAGTTCGGTGACGATTTGTATTATGAGTTTATGTGTTTTGATGTACCGAAGGTAGTTCGGAGTCCCGTATGAGATCGGGGACATGAAGAGGAGTCTCGAAATGGCCGAGACGTAAAGATCGATATATTGGACGACAATATTCGAACATCGGAAAGGTTCCGAGTGATTCACGTATTTTTCGGAGTGCCGGGGAGTTACGGGAATACGGGGAAGAAGTGTTGGGCCTTAATGGGCTTTAGTGGGAAGGAGAGGCAGCAGCCAGGAGGTGGCGGGCGCCCCTCCCAAGCCCAGTCCGAATTGGACAAGGGGTTTGGGGCGCGGCCCCCTCTCCCTTCCTTCTCCCCTTCCCTCCTTTCCCCCCTTCTCCTAGTTGGACTAGGAAAGGAGGAAACCTACTCCTACTAGGAGTAGGAATCCTACTCCCTTGGCGCGCCCCTCCTAGGGCCGGCCTACTCCTCCCTTGCTCCTTTATATACGGGGGCAGGGGGCACCCCAGGACACACAAGTTGATCTGTTGATCTATTCCAGCCGTGTGCGGTGCCCCCCTCCATCATATTCCACCTCGGTTATATCGTAGCGGTGCTTAGGCGAAGCCCTGCGTCGGTAGAAACATCATCACCGTCATCACGCCATCGTGCTGATGAAACTCTCCCGTGAAGCTTTGCTGGATCGGAGTTCGCGGGATGTCATCGAGGTGAACGTGTGCTGAACTCGGAGGTGCTGTATGTTCGGTACTTGGACTGGTCGGATCATGAAGACGTACGATTACATCAACCGCGTTGTGCTAACGCTTCCGCTTTCGGTCTACGAGGGTACGTGGACACACTCTCCCCTTTCGTTGCTATGCATCACCATGATCCTGAGTGTCCGTAGGAATACTTTTTGAAATTACTATGTTCCCCAACATGGTTTTCGACGGAAGGAAAAACCACGCATGGGCCACCACTGTCAATCGGAAAAGCATCTTCCACTTCCAGATTTGCTCCCCTGCGTGCACGCCCTTCAGCTGCCATGTCGATCCCGACGCCACCTACCCACCCTCCGCTGCTAGATAGGTCATTCCCTCGCCGGAAAAGAGAGGGTTCCGCCGTGGCAGCCTCCACCCCGCTCCTAGGCGAGCTTTCCGATGCTCCGGCCACGCACGGCGGGAATACCGGGTTGTGCGCCTACCACACCTGCAAGGTGTTCGACGATTTGTCTGTTCGGTGATGGACTCAGATGACGAGGAGGCGTTCGCGGCATTGCTGGAGGACGAAGCCGATGCCGACGCTCAGGACGAAGAGCATCTCATGGTCCTCGCCGCTCTGGCCAGCCTGTTCGCGAGCAAAGCAAAGCCACGACAAGGTGGCTCGGCGCCGGGCCGGCTGAAGGCAAAGCAGAGGCATCGACTAGAATGCTATTGCTTGCTCTAATCCGACTACTTCGCCAACGCTCCACTGCATGGCGAGAAAGTATTTCTGTGTCGTTATAGGATGAGCCGAAAGCTCTTCCTCAGGATCGTGAATTCCATCTGTGAGTTCGAATTAGCTACTTCAAATGCAAGAAGGATTGCACTGGCACACTTGGATTCACTTCACTCCAGAAGTGCACGACAGCTATGAGGATGCTTGCATACGGAGCTCCCGGTGATTCACTAGAAGACTATGGACGCATGGCCGAGTCCACGACCATTGAGTGTTTGTACAAGATCTGCAGGGCAGTGGTGGCAGTGTTTGGACCTCAACACTTGCGATCACCCAATGCTGAAGACACTTCTTGGATCCTAGCACAGAATGTAGCAAGAGGATTTCCTGCGATGCTTGGAAGCATCGATTGCATGCATTGGAAATGAAAAAACTATCCATTTGCTTGGCAGGGGATGTACAAAGGCGCCAAAGGCGATTGCAGTGTGGTACTTGAGGCAGTGGCCACAAATGACCTCTGGATTTGGCACTCCTTTTTTGGTATGCCAGGAACTCACAATGACATCAACATATTGCAGTGCTCAACTGTCTTTGCCAAGCTTGTTGAAGGTCATGATCCTCCGGTGAACTTCGAGGTCAATGGGCGGCACTACAACAAGGGATACTACCTAGTAGATGGCATCTATCCGAGATGGTCGACATTTGTGAAGACTATCTCGAGCCCTGTGCTAGGAGGCAAGAACTCCCACTTTGCCAAGTGTTAGGAGGCTTGCAGGAAGGATGTCCAGCGGGCATTTGGTGTGCTCCAATCTTGATTTTCTCTTGTCTGGTACCCCGCTCAGACCTGGTCGAAAGATCAAATGTGGGAGGTCATGACTTGTTGTGTCATCTTGCACAACATGATCATTGAGAGCGAGCAGGAGAGCCAGTGTTTGACACTGAATCATATTATAGGCAGGGTCCTCTTTCCCAAATTGATCACCAGCTACCGGTAACCTAGATTGCCTTCCTCAATATGCGTCAGGAGATCCGAGACCCACTAGTGCATCAACAACTGCAGCAGGATCTGATGGAGCACCTATGGAGGCTCAAGGGCAACGCCTACCTCGATGTGTGATGAAATATGAGTTTTTATTTGTTGAACTATATGATTTGTATTGATTTGTTGAACTATTTCATTTGTATCGATTTTCTGTGATGAACTATGTGATAAAAGTAGCTTTTGTTGAATTTGTGCCGAAGCACGCCTAATATGGGCCGAAATTGATCAATTTGCGCCGATAGTGGGCCAATTTGCGCCGAAAGTGGGCCGAAATTGGCGCCTGTGGGCGACCGTGGGGGCGGCGGCTGGGAACCCGATCGCCCCCATGCCAATTTTTCCGCTGGCGCCCCCCGGTGCTATTTCAAGTCCCTCGGTCCGAACTGCTGGAGATGCTCTAACAATGGTACTAGATGGCTTACTATTAACCAAGAAGGTTGGGGTGTGAGATGAACATGACCTGTACCCGATGAAGTACACTGCATCTTGTGGACCGAGGAACCCCAGTTCTGACCAGCTCAAATATGGAGTGTATAGAATACTTGCTCAAGTTTTGGGATCATTGTTTTGGAAAAGAAACTTCAAGGTCGTGATAAGTAATGCTTTGAGCAACTAACTGGACTCCATTTTAGTTCAGGCTGTGATTTTCCTGAAACTACTTTGTAACAATAGTAGCAACCTTTTTTTGTTCTCTTTCCTTTCTTTTCTTTGGTAATGGTTTCTTGTTATATGTCTTCTACCTATCTCATTTCCCTATGTATTGTCCACAGGTTCTCATACATCTTCAGCAGCTTGAGGAGGTTTGGAAACTGACAGATCTTGGAGATATTCTACTTGTTGACGCTTAAGAAAATGTTCGCCATTTGTTGACTTCTTTCCACTTCTCCATTACAAGTTTGAATTGTTTACTATCATGGGTAATTTTTTCTGTTTATGGGGTACTTGCTTTAGATGAGAACAATGTTGATTGCTCTTCTGTAAATTGAATCTCACAAATCCTAGCCAAGTATGTAATATAATGATACTCCATCGTTACCACTTCATCCTTACCACTTATTTAGAGGTTTAAGGATATTCCATCGTTACAAAAAATCCTAGCCAATTTAGATTCTTTACAAAAAATCATGTTTAAGGATACTCCATCGTTACCACGTCTTTAGAGGTTTCTTGTTTCCCCCGAAAAAAATCTATTTTTTGTAAAAAAAATCTCAGAATAAAGTACTAATTCATCTATAATATTTTCACCCAAAGTAAACAAGTGAGAATGTCCACACAGAAATTTGTAGAAGGGAACTGAGCTGTGGGAGAGCAGCAAGACCTATGTCGCATGAATGACAAATTTACAATCATAATTCTGTTTGTGGTTTTTTTACAAAAGTAGCCTAGCCTCCCAATTTCATTGCATGAAATTGATAATACAAAACACCCAAGAAGTGGACGGACGTTTAATGCAGTGCGTCACCTGGCCGTCAACCTGATCAACCGAATAACCTCACTCAAGAGACGCCGACAACAATTTAACGCACGGCAACATCATCAGAACTATTCGACACCAGCAACCCCTAAGCATAAAACATACAGAAAGTAACCGATCAAAAACCATACAGTAAAACTACCATAGGGGCCTAGACTTGCTTTCTGCGAAAATACTCTGTGGCCTCGGGTAAAGAAGTCTTATGCACATGTCATTCATGCAACACTGCTTCAATTACAAGTAAAAGAAGAAGCCTTGTTTGTAGAATTTTTGGGAATCTCAAAAATATGAAACTTTATGCACAATGGACCTTCACTGTTCTCCAACATGATTCACCACTGGAAGGTAGAGCATGGATAATTCCTTGCCTTGAGGACCGACTATTTCTACATCCCTTCCGGATTCCTCCCAATCCTACGCATCTAGAGGAACGCCTTGACTGGCACGGAATGCTTCTCAATTCTACCATTGTTGAGTAAGTTTGCACGAGAAATTGTCAATAGCAGCATATGCAAAGTCTACTATATATCGGTAACTCACCAACCATGAATCTCCGTGTTTAATACCATCGGCTCATAGAGAATACATCACAATAAAGAAGAAAATGTGCAAGGCCCTACAAATCCTATGATTCATTGCCCACCCCACACATGCTGCTCATCCTTTACATCATATACTAGCATTATGACTTACACATTTGCATATGCTCTTAGCTGTGGTAAAACCAGATCCGGCACCTGCAGATTGAATCCCTCCCCCCCTCACCTCCAAAAAAGTCCAAGCTGCAATCATTCAACTGATTTTTCAGCTTTGTCTTAGCCTCCAATATATGCATCCCTGATTCTATGTAGCCTGCCAGACACCTCATCCATGCTGATGCGTTCACTTGGAGTGGACTTGGTGCAGCAAAGGCCAACATTCAGCACAGAAAGTAAACAATGTACTCCATTATCCTCCGCCGATGGAGCTTCTTCGCAAAGGTCCAACTCTTGTACCAGTTGTGGATCGACGATCTGCATCATCTTGTTAGGGATGTTAACCTCTGCAAACTTGGCAATGATTAATCCGTCCTTGAACATGCCATTTGTTAGGCTCTTTCGTATGAATATTTCAAGGAGAATGACCCCAAAGCTGTAAACATCTACAGCGGTAGAAACTTGACCACCCGCTCCATATTCTGTAGATTGCATATATCGAGAGATCGGTTTAATCTCACACTTCCAACTAAATTAGTAAGAAAAACAGATCGTAAAAAATAATACCTGGAGCAACATATCCTATGGTTCCCCTGATTGCAAGCGAAGAAACCGATGTCGAGCCATAAAAGGATGATGACATGGGATAGACTTGCAACCGTGCGAGTCCAAAGTCTCCAACATGAGCTACCATGTCATTGTCCAGAAGAATGTTGCTGGGTTTGAGATCACAATGAACAATACTTCCATGGTGGTTATGGTGTAGGTACGCCATTGCATCTGCTATATCCACCACAATGCTTAACCTTTGAGCAAGTGAAACCTGTTTTAAAGAGCTGCCATTGTCTTCCGTTGAGTATAGCAAGTTATGCAAATCCCCTCCTGGCATGAACTCATACACTAGCGCTTTGAAATCATTTCCGCTAGAACCAATGCTAGAGCATGCAGTTAAGATACGGACTAGATTGCGGTGTCGCACATTTCGCAAAGCATTGCACTCTGCAATGAAGCTCCTTTGTGCTCCCCTTACCTCTAAGCAAAATACTTTCACGGCAACCACATTTTCTTCTTGAAGTATCTTCCCTCTATATACTGAACTGTATCTTCCCGTGCCAATCAAATTGGATACAGAGAATCCATCGGTTTCTCTAGCAAGATCCTTATACGAAACTTGGGGGAATTTGCTATCAAATGAGAGTGAAGACATAGAACTTCTCATACGGTTTTTCCTCTGCCAAAGCAGCACAAAGATCACCATAGCAAGCAGTGAGAGCATGCAAGCGAGTGGGATCGCTACTTTGAGTATTACATGTAGCCTGTGTTTAGATAAATTTGAAGACATAACAGAACATGAAAGCAGGTGTAAGTTCGATGCTCCACCACAAAGGCCCTGATTTCCATCAATATGTGTGGCGGTTGCATTCTTGAATATTCCATGAATTGGAACCTTGCCCTCAAGATGGTTGAACGACAGACGCTGGTACTGATCCGATTAAGTTATTGTAAGACAAATTGAGGACTTTTAGGCCAAATAGGTTGCCAAATGAAACGGGGATGTTTACATCAAAAATATTATTGTCCAACTCAATGTGTCAAACTGTCGCAATCACCCGACGTACTTGGAATATGGCCAGATAACTTGTTCGATGAAAGCAGCAAAATCACGAGCTGCTTGGCGTTGCCTACTTCTGTAGGAAGTTGTCCGTGAAGGTTGTTGAGTGATAATCCAATTTTCCTTATTCTTGGAATGCTGAACATCCCCTATGGTACCCTACTATTAAGATTGTTATTGGAAACGCTTAGTGTTTCAAGAGATTGAAGGTTTCCTAGGCTTGTTGGTATGTGCCCAATGAATTGGTTTGTGTCTATAAGTAGTTCTGTTAATCGGGATAAATTGAAGCCCCAAAAAAATTGGGATACATTGAAAAGGGGGGAAGGAATGTAGCTTTAAACATGGTAGATAAGCTTAGCTTTTGAAATTTTTTGAAAGCTCCCGGCCAATGTGGCCCTCGCGGCCTGTCAACCCCGCACAACCCGTGACCACCCCTCCCCGCCTTTACCCGTCTCTCCCAGACCCAGTTGCTGAGGATGACCTCGACGACCCCAACATCTCCAAGGGAATGGGATGAGACAGGCGATGACGGGCGTCACTCGGGGTCGGAACTGAGAAAGCAGCCGCGCTAGATGTGGCTCGGAACAACAGGAGGAACGCCTCAGAATCACGATGCTCGGAGCGACGGATTAGCTCCGATAATTCATGGACATAGTGCAGCCTTGCCTTACAAGTAGAAGTAGAAGCCTTGCTTGTAGAATTTTCAGGAATCTTTAAACTATGAAGCTTTATGCACAAGGGGCCCTCACGGCTGATGACCCACAAGTATAGGGGATCTATCGTAGTCCTTTCGATAAAGTAAGAGTGTCGAACCCAACAAGGAGCAGAAGGAAATGATAAGCGGTTTTCAGCAAGGTATTCTCTGCAAGTACTGAAATAAGTGGTAACAGATAGTTTTGTGATAAGATAATTTGTAACGAGCAACAAGTAACAAAAGTAAATAAAGTGCAGCAAGGTGGCCCAATCCTTTTTGTAGCAAAGGACAAGCCTGGACAAACTCTTATATCAGGAAAAGCGCTCCCGAGGACACATGGGAATATCGTCAAGCTAGTTTTCATCACGTTCATATGATTCGCGTTCGGTACTTTGATAATTTGATATGTGGGTGGACCGGTGCTTGGGTGCTGTTCTTACTTGAACAAACATCCCACTTATGATTAACCTCTATTGCAAGCATCCGCAACTACAACAAAAGTATTAAGGTAAACCTAACCATAGCATGAAACATATGGATCCAAATCAGCCCCTTACGAAGCAACGCATAAACTAGGGTTTAAGCTTCTGTCACTCTAGCAACCCATCATCTACTTATTACTTCCCAATGCCTTCCTCTAGGCCCAAATAATGGTGAAGTGTCATATAGTCGACGTTAACATAACACCACTAGAGGCTAGACAACATACATCTCATCAAAATATCGAACGAACACCAAATTCACATGACTACTAATAGCAAGACTTCTCCCTTGTCCTCAGGAACAAACGTAACTACTCACAAAGCATATTCATGTTCATAATCAGAGGGGTAATAATATGCATAAAGGATCTAAACATATGATCTTCCACCAATTAAACCAACTAGCATCAACTACAAGGAGTAATTAACACTACTAGCAACCTACTAGCACCAATCCCGGACTTGGAGACAAGAATTGGATACAAGAGATGAACTAGGGTTTTGAGATGAGATGGTGCCGATGAAGATGTTGATGGAGATTGCCCTCTCCCGATGAGAGGAGCGTTGGTGATGATGATGGCGATGATTTCCCCCTCCGGGAGGGAAGTTTCCCTGGTAGAACAGCTCTGCCGGAGCTCTAGATTGGATCCGCCAAGGTTCCGCCTCGTGGCGGCGGAGTTTCGTCCCGAAAGGTTGCTTCTAGTTTTTTTCTCGACAAAATACTTCATATAGCAGAAGATGGTCATCGGAGAGCCACCAGGGGGCCCACGAGGTAGGGGGCGCGCCCTAGGGGGGTGCGCGCCCCCCACCCTCGTGGACAAGGTGTGGGCCCCCTGGTCTTCATCTTTGGGAGGATTTTTCATTATTTATTATAAGGTATTCCATGGAGTTTCAGGACTTTTGGAGTTGTGCAAAATAGGTCTCTAATATTTGCTCCTTTTCCAGCCCAGAATTCCAGCTGCCGGCATTCTCCCTCCTTATGTAAACCTTATAAAATAAGAGAGAATAGCCATAAGTATTGTGACATAATGTGAAATAACAACCCATAATGCAATAAATATTGATATAAAAGCATGATGCAAAATGGACGTGTCAACTCCCCCAAGCTTAGACCTCGCTTGTCCTCAAGCGAAAGCCGATAACAATAAATATGTCCCTATGTTTAGAGGTAGAGGCGTCGATAAAAATAAAATACGGACATGGAGGCATCATGATTATTCTCATAACAGCAACATATATAGATATTGTCATATGATTACTTATGTTCAAGTGATGATCTATTCACAATGCAAAAGTATGAATCAGAAACCTTATTGAGAACCAACAAACTATAACCTCAGTCATTGAAGCAATTGCAATTTATTATAACATCAGAAAGAGTCTATGTCAGAGGTAAAAAGCAAGTCAACATACTCAACTATCATCTAGTCCTTCATAATTGCGAACACTCACGCAATACTTGTGGTTACAGAGTTTTAATCGGACACAGAGAAAGATAGGGGCTTATAGTTTCACCCCACAACCTTTTACCTCGAGGGTAATGTCAACAATAATAACTCATGCCCCCCTACATCCAATTAGATATATATATATATATATATATATATATATATATATATATATATATATATATATATATATCAGGTTCTTTCCAACATGCTGGGCTTGCCAAAGGATAAAATGAAAAAGGAAAGGTGAAGATCACCATGACACTTGCATAAGGTAGAAGATAATAATAAAAGATAGGCCCTTCACAGAGGGAAGCAGAGGTTGCCATGCGCTTTTATGGTTGGATGCATAAAATCTTAATGCGAAAGAACGTCACTTTATATTGCCCCTTGTGATATGAACCTTTATTATGCAGTCCGTCGCTTTTATTACTTCCACATCACAAGATTGTATAAAGCTTATTTCTCCCACACTAATCATACATATTTAGAGCAATCTTTATTGCTTTGCACTGATGACAACTTACTTGAAGGATCTTACTCAATCCATAGGTAGATATGGTGGACTCTCATGGCAAAACTGGTTTAAGGGTATTTGGAAGCACACGTAGTATCTCTACTTGGTGCTGAGAATTTGGCTAGCATGAGGGGGAAAGACAAGCTCAACATATTGGGTGATCCATGACAACATACTTTATCTCAGATATAAGAAAACATAACCCATTACATTGTCTTCCTTGTCCAACATCATCTCTTTAGCATGTCATATTTTGATGAGTGCTCCCAATCATAAAAATGTTAATAATAGTATATTTATATGTGAAACCTCTCTTTCATTATTACTTCCTATTAATTGCAACGATGACCAAAGCTATGTCTACCAACTCCCAACAACTTTTAATCGTCACACTCTTTCTATGTGAAGTCATTACTATCAATAAGATCAATATGATCTCTTGTTTCTTCTTATTCTTTTTCTCTTTTCTTTTATTCCCCAAGATCATAGCAAGAAAATAAAGCCCTTGACTCAACACTTAGCTCACGGACTCGATTACATAGAGAGATCATAAGGCAAAACTCAAAACTAGATCATGCCGTAAACTTTATTCTACTAGATCAAAATACTACTAATAGGATCGAACTAAGGAAAACGGTAAAGATAGGAGTTGTGATTGTGATACGATACCGGGGCACCTCCCCCAAGCTTGGCAGTTGCCAAGGGGAGTGCCCATACCCATGTGATTATATCTCCTTGGTTGGTGAAGAAGGTGGAGGTGTTGTTGACTTAGTTGATGGCATACACTTCTCCCTTAATTTACGCTTTAGGACGGCATTTTGGTCCCTCAGATCATCAATCTCCCACTCCAGGGTTAATATCTTTTTGCATAGGTCCTGCTTATTTTCCTGCAAGAGACGAAAAGGGATAAACTCAAATTTTGGTTTCTTTACCCTATCAGTGAGACTTGACTTTTTGAACTCCACGTGCATATCCCTAGGTTGAGGTAATGGGGCTTCATCTTCATCTGAGCTCGTCTCCTCCTTCCCATTGGGTTCATAGTCCTCTTCTTCCTCCATGGTCCAACCATCGTGCTCCACATCTCCGTAGACCTTAGGTTTAGCTAAGTAATCATCCACATACTTTCTCCTTCCGAATCCTGGGAGGACATGTTGATCTAATCTGCAGTGGGACAACTTGAAACAAAAACAGAGGATAATTGCGTGATACGGGAGTCAAAACCTTCGGGAGAATATATAGTGAATTTTTACCAACCAAAATACGTATCATGCAGGAAAACGGAGTCCGGAAGGCACACGAGGTGCTCACGAGGTAGGGGGGGCGCCCAGGGGGGTAGGGCGCGCCCTCCACCCTCG